AAAATAAAAAATAAAAGGGGTTGGGGACATGTCTCAGTGGTTAAGTGCCTCTGGGTTAAATCCCCAGTACAAAAAAAAAAAAAAAAAAAAATAGAAATAGTAACTTAGGTAAAGAAGTAAAAGCTATACACATGTTAGAATGCATGCACCCCAAGAAGGCCTTCCCACCACAGGAGAACAAAGAGGGTAGGAACAGCTAAAAGTAGATTTCTTTAAATAACCCAATAGGAGACAGTAAAACTTAGGTGACATTGGGAAAGACTGTACATCCCATTGTACTCAGCCAGTGAGGAACTCGGGGAGGGACTTTGTGCACTAGGGGTAAAATGCTAGTTGTACCCAATCTGTGTGTTCTTGCTTGCCAGATTTTTTTGGTAGCACATCCTTCTACAGAAGTAAAGTTTGCCTTGCTGAGTTAATTTTGAGCACGTGTTTGATTCCTCACAGCACCCGATATTTCTAACAGATACTGCTAAAAGAAATTATAGAGGACATACACAAAAGGGAAGATATTATGTGTTCATGGGTTGGAAGGATATTATTAAAATGCTTATAGTACCCAAAGTGACCTATAAGTTCAATGTAGTCTCCATAAAAATGCCAAAGGTATTCTTCACAGAAGTAGAAAAACAATCCTAAAATTCACATGGAACCATAGAAGACCCAGAATAGTGAAAATGAGCAAAACAAACAATAAAGCTAGAGGCATCATAATGTCTGACTTCGAAACATATTCTACAAGGATTGGGGATGTAGCTCAATGGTAGGGTATTTGCCTAGCACGTGGCAAGCCCTAGGTTCAATCCCTAGTACTCGAAAAACAAACAAAAAACAAAAGTAAAATCATATTACAAAGCCATAGTAACCAAAGCATGGCATAAAAATGACACTCATACCTTTGTAACAGAATAGAGAACCCAGAAATTAATCCATGTATGCAAAGCCAATTCTCAACATAAGCTTGCAGAAGTACCCCACTTCCCCACCCCCGATGCAACCACAGTGTTCTGCCCAAGGTGAGAAGAGCCACCTGGCCCTCTCCTCTCCCTGACCCTAACCCTCTCCCCTCTCTTCCTTCCCACGGGGGTGGGGGGAGGGGGTTTTGCAGAGGCTTAATGCGCTTGGGACATGATTTGGTACCTCTGGTTTGACTGGAAGCTTTGGAGAATGAAAACCATATTCTATTCTGAGTCCTTGTTCAGTGACTTCTTTATGACAGGCACTCATGGTTTGCCACATTTGTGCATCTGGGATTCTGGGGCATTGCTAAGGTTCATCCTGCTGAGTGGCCATCTCCTGTGCTTGGAGTCCCACTGACAGCAGTCTCCATCAAGTACTGTACAAGACAAGCTGAATAAATCAGAGTGACACAGCAGCTGGTCAGTTAGGGGTCTAAGGAGACTGTCACTGTGTCCTGAATTCTCTATGACTGGTAGGGCATCACCATACCCAGAACCTGCCACCTGGCTTTCATTTTTACCATGTGATCAGAGTTGGCCTCAGACAACAGGTAGCCACAGAAACAAGCAAACGTGATGATGAAGATGAGAACAGGAAGAAGGCAAACTTTACATAATGGCATGCTCAACATACACAAAATTGAGGGGCCAGGTTAGAGCTAAATGAAAATTCCAACAAGTCTGCTCTTAAATAAATTCAGCTTCTCTGGTAATACAATTCATCTTAGGCTTTCTCTTAGCCATATTTCCCAGATATGAGCAAAGTACCAGAACACAGCTTTACCAGTTACTAATTCCTGAAATCAGGACACACTGCAAAAAAAGCTGATGTACTAGATTTTGTCATCATCAAAAAAATAAAATGAGTCTTAAAAAGTAACACAGTTATCAGGGTTGAAGAAACCTTAGAAATAATCCCAGATCACAGATGGGACCTTGGTCCTACGGGGATCCTAAGCTAGGACTCCTAAGAACCTGTCCTTAGCCATACCAAAGGGAACCTCCACATTAAAAATAAACAAAATACTTTTACTCTCACCCTAAGAAAGCCAGGAAGTTAACAACCTGATGTCACTGGAACACTGAGGAAATTTTCTCAGTTATAGAAGACATCTTTTCTTTCTGTATAGAAAGTAGTCCTGAATCTGAGGAAGAAGTGCCTCTAGCAGGACCACCCTCCCCACAGCTCCCAGCATACCCCAGGTCCACACAAAAGTTCTCCAACAGGACAAGCCTTTCCAATGTCTTAGTATCTCCCAACACATGGATAAATCACAGTGAATCCTGGGCAACAGGTCCCTGAATTTGGAAACATACACTGGAACCCTCCACTGTAGTGACTCAAGAGACAGGAGCAGCCAGACCCAGTGGCACACGCCTGTTATCCCAGCAATTCAGAAGGCTAGGGCAGAAAGATTACAGAATAGCAAAAATGGTCCTGAGCAAAACAAACAACAAAGCCAGCCTCAGCCACTCAGTGAGACCCCATCTCAAAATAAAAAATGCTAGAGATGTAGCTCAGTGGTAAAGCACCTGAATTTTTCAATCCCATATTAAAAGTGGGCAGGGGCAGGTGCTGAAACATTTAGTGCTACAAATAACCTGCATGTACCCCAGTAAGTACAGTGGCCACAGCACAGGCAAAGGTCACGAGTGTCACCCTCCACAAGCCAGTGGCACCACTTCTCAAAATTAGAGGTTGAGCTACTTCAACTCAGCCATGTCCTCAAAGTCTAAGAAAAGCACCAAAGGTGAAGAGCTCCATGCTTGAGTGCCAGTTGGCCCCTGAGGATGGCCTTGCCCTGTTGTTTCAGCTGAAAGGGGCTCCTTACTACCTGGTCACACCCATACGTGTGGGGATGGGGTGATCATGGCTCATTAAATGGTTCAATGCCTGGGTACATGCAGGGAAAAAAAAAACAAAAACAAACTCACAGTGGGTTCCTCCTACTATACTCAACAAAGATCACTTCTGATACCACATGTACAGTGGGTTTTCCCCACACCCCATCCAGCTATCAGTTCTAAAGTGGACAGTTCTCTAACCCAACTCAATTCTGACACTGCCTGCTTGAGACAGGATCAGATCCCACAGGTTGAGGACTCAGTTTCCTAAGATGGTCCCCATTTCATGTCAATTGCCAGTCCAGGCTGCCTTAACCTGTGCTCTGACCCCCAGCTATAGATCAGAATTCTATAACCCTCTCCCTGGGTTTGATCAGCTTGCTCAAGTGGTTCAATGAACTCTGGGAAACACTTGTGTAAGGTGTGGGGAAGAGGCCTCCATGCCCTCCCTGGGTACCACCCTCCAGGAACCTCCCCACATTTACCTACCAGGAAGCTCTCAGAATCCTGTGCTTTTGGGTTTTCATGGAAGTTTCATTCCATGAGCTTCATAGATTAAATCACTGGCCATTGCTAATCAAATCAACCTTCAGCTCCTCTCCCTTCTCTGGAGGCTAGGGATGGGGCTGAAATTCCCAACCTGGAACCTGCGCTTGGTCTTTCAGTGATGAGTCTCATCCTGAAGCTACCTGGGGCTGCTGGCCAGCGGGGGCTCTTCAGCAGACAAAAAGACTTTATCATTTCAGAGATTCCCAAGTTTCTTAGGAGTTGACTGCCAGAAAACAGAAAAAATATATATTTCATTCAATCACACTGCTACACACATTATGGAAAGTGAATAATTACCTGACCACAAGTGACTTCCTGAGCATATACCTCATGGAGGTAGTCCATGAGTGTGAAGTGAAATTGTTCACAAATTCCCCCAAAGAATTACCTTACCTAGCGACAGAGAAAGCTTTCTGAGGCTCCTACTCAGCTCCTTCACTTTATCACAAACTTTGTAACTTTGGAAAAGTAACCTCACCTACTGGGCCTCTGTTTACTCTCTCTGGTAGAATAACTAAAAGACTTCAGAACACCACCAGCAGTAAGACACTTTAAAATTCAGAGAAAAGGACAGAAAAATAAAAGATGAGGAAGCACTTGTCCTTATGTCCTTATGACATTATAGATAATAAATAGGAGAAAAGTATTCAAATGTGAAATATCAAGAAAGCAGCAAAAGGAGAAATGTGTGGCCACAACTTTTCCTACCACAGATCTCCAGGGCACCTTTCCCAGAAAACCAAAGTAAATGGACACTAAGTGGAAGGACAGAAGCGAGAAAAAAACATTCCCACCATGCACCGGAAATCTTCCAAGCGTCTACAAAACCTCCATGTCCTTCCTCGTCACCTCCTGCCCCTGACATACAATCACTCATGCAGACTCCTCAGGAAGGGGGTTCCTGCCCTCCTATAAGGCCAAGCCTTCCTCCTGAGCTCTCCATTCCAACCCACTTCTCTCTAACACCAACAACTGCATCTCCCCCGTACCTGGTTCTGCAAACTTGATCTGTTACAAGCCAAATGGCAAGTACTTTAGATCTCACAGGCCATGGGTCTGCCATAGTCACTCACCTCTGCCACTGTAGAGGGCAAACAGTCAGACAACACATCAAAACAAGGACGGTGGGTGTCCCAATACAACTTCATTTACAAACACTTGGCAGCCAGACATGCCCTGCAGTGTGCAGTCAGCCAGCCATTCCCTAGGTCACCTCATCAGTTCACAAACATGCTCTAAGATCTCCAACTTACACACACACACAGCCATGTGCTGTAACACACTCCTGTCATCCCAGTGACTCAGGAGGCTGAGACAAGAGGATCACAAGTTCAAGGCCAACCTGGGCAACTTAGCGAGACCCTATTTCAAAATAAAAAGGGCTGGGGATGTAGCTCAGTAGTAGAGTGCCCTTGAGTTTTACCCCCAGTACTAGACAGGGAGAACCACACACACACAGGTCTCCCTCAGACACCATCATCCAGGCCCCAGAAGAGACACTGCTTTCTGACCTCCCCCCACCAATACCTAAGTGCCTCCAGAATGCTCTTATTCCCATCACTCCCCCGACATGTCAGTCACCAGTGGCCTCCAGATGGCCACCCAATGCCCATGCTTGTTCTTACACTGCAAAATGCATTCCCCTACCCGACTCCCAGAAGTCTTCATGTCAGGACCTCCTGGACACTACTCCTGGTCTCAGGCATCCAAGTTGTATAGGCACTGGTTTTCTGTGTCTTTTCCTGGTCCTTCCACTCATACCTGCCTAACTGGACATGGCCTTTTCCTATTAAAAAAAAATAATCCTCTCTTCGTCAAAAGAGCACAGATACCAGAGTCCTAGGCAGAGGCCTGACTCTGGGTATCCCACAATTCAAGTATGGCCACTTGCTAAAACCAAACAGAAAAGGTAACGGTGAAAACATGAAAGAAACTTTGTAGCAGCTACACGGGGAAGACAAGGGCACCCACGTCCTTAACCCTGTCTTGGGGGCTAATAATGACTTGAGGTTTTATACAAAGGAGAATGAAAACAAGGGTTGGGGATTTGCATAGCTGGAGGCTTTTTGAAGCTGCCAACACAGATGATGTTGATCAGGTGTAGTCTGTCCATCATAATCTCAGGATTGGTCAGTGGGGCCTTGTCCCAGATAAGAAAGGTGCCATCTGAAGCTGTGCGCAGTGGCGCATGCCTATACTCCCAACAACTCAGCAGGTTGTGAGGCAGGAGGATTGCAAGTTTGAAGCAAGGCTCAGCAACTTAACAAGGCACTGTCTCAAAAGATAAAGGACTGGGGATGTAGCTCAGGGATAAAGTGTGTTCAGTCCTAAGTACCCAAAATAGGGGGATGGGAGGGAGAGGGGGAGAGAGAGGGGGAGGGGGGAGGGAGGAGACAGAGAGATGTCAATGCTTTGACTCATCACAAGGTGTTTATCAGATCAGATCTTGTTCTGGAATCCAAGGTGACTTAAAGCAAAGGAGATGGATGCAAAATTGAGGCAGAGGGCCCAAGTCTTTAGTCTTGCTTTTAGCCACCCATCAGACATTAGCAGGCAAAAGTGAAGAGTCAAGGTCCTTGTTACAGAACCATGGCACTAAATGTCACTTCAATCAATGCTCATTCTACTCAATGTACCTATTAAGCCCTAAATTTTCTAGGCCTCAACTCAAATATCTGGTAGGCTTTGGGCATCTCCATATCACACCTACTAAGCAACAGTTGACAAGCCCCACTATCAGCTCCTCATCTGGCCACTTGCTGGGCACAGCCAATCCATAACTAAGAAGTACCTCCTACCTGACTAGCCCCCTCAGAAGTGCTCTTCTCATAAAGACTTCACTGGACTCAAGTTTCCCTAGATTCCTCTCTTCCTCATCCTCCTGAACAATCCATCATAAATCCTGGCAGCATTCCACTGTTCTCCATCTCCTCATCCACACCTCTCCAAGGAAGGGCCATCACCCACCTGAACAAATCCTCAGCTGACCTCCCAATTTCACCCTGACCCCACCCCCTGTTCTCTGCCCAGCAACCAATAAAACAGAATTATGAAAAGTGACTCTTCTGCCCAAATCCCTTCCCAACGTAGAACAGGGATGTAGCTCAGTGGTAGAGCACGTGCCGAACACCAGCAAAGCCCCAGGTTCCATCTCCAGCACCCCCGTCACTGAAAAAGAAACAACCACAAAAACAAAAACACCTTTCCCAGTGTACTTGGAGTAAGTCCAACTCCTCACCACAGCCAAATGCATTCTGCAGCTTAATTCTGCTGCCCTTTCCACTAGTTATTCTCTCTGGAAATGAATGACACTTTTCACTTCAGGCCTCTGCTCAAATGGCACCTGAGCCCTTCCTAATTAATCCCCTGAACCATCACCTAGCAAAGCATTCCCACACTCCAGAGCTTGTTCACATTTACAATGCTATCAACTAAAGTCTGCACACAAGAGAAAGAGAACACCACAGCTAACAGGCCCCCATGCATGTGTGCTGAATGAGCCACATCCCACCACATGGAAATAAGGACTCTATCCATTCCCTTGCATACTGCCTAGCTTTCTGGTGATGCTCCATTCCCAGAGTCGTCATTGGGATGCTGCCTACTGCAAGCTGGAACAGCCTACACAGCACCAACATGAACCTGAAGACCTGCATTGACTCTGCGTGTACAACACAGATCTAGCATGGGAGGTCATGGCATGAAGCTCTGGGGTGTCTGAGGCTAATATATCCAAGTAACGCTCTTGGGGAACAAGTACTTGGTCACACGGCCAGCACTACTAACATCATGGTTGGCATAATGCATGTCTTTCAGCATTTCCATCATACAGGAGCCCAAGTGAGACTCAACAGTAAGTAAACACCCTATTTTTAGTTCATTTCCAAAGTAGCAGAGCTAGAGACATTTTACACACCTTCCACTACCTCCAAATTTCAAGGCTGGAAGAGAAAACAGAGGGGCAGTGTATGTGGTGGGGCAGTGCAGCTGGCTTTTTCCCATTACCTGTCCTCCCACTCTGCAGTATATCCTCTTTCCACTCCCTCAGAGGCTCCCAGCCCCACCCTGGAAGGCTCAGTCATGCTGTCCGAGGGCATTTCAACCCAACACCATGGCCTACTCACAGTGCATGTGCTAGCTTTTCAGAGAGAGCTGATTGTGTGCTGTTTCCACTGCACTTCCTCCAAAACACTAACTTCAACCCCTTTCCTGTTGCTCTTTCAGGGATGGCACTACCCAAGAGGGTCAGGTTCTGTAAGTCTGAGTGGGGCCAAAGGATGTGCATCACTAGCTGGTTCCTGGCTCTGCCAGGGAACTTCAGTGACATATACCTGTATTCCAGACCTCTCTTCCCTCCCACATGTACAACAGTGCTCACATTAACACCAGAGGGCCACCATGTGGATAAGGGGAAATATGGCAACAAATATCTGGCTCAAGAGTTCAAGGTCCTATACACAACAGTGAATCTCACCATTGCGTACATCCACAGACTTGGATCCTAAGTAAAATTACATATTTTCATAATTATATCAAAATGGATTCTATTGTCATGTATAACTAAAAAGAACCAATAAAAAAAGTTTAAGGTCCCAGACATGTGGATAAGAGCTTAGTTGTCCCCAGAGATCTTGGGGTATATGTGGATGTGCTGGCCCTGACCTCCTCTTTCTCAGAGAACTTGGTCTCAGGCACAGAAATTCAGCCTGGGAAATGCTTATCTGAATTTCAAACTGTGTGGGGAAAAAACAAACAACCCGTTCTGCCAGGCATGAGGAGGCATGCAGGTAAGTGATCTCAGTGACTCTGGAGGCAGAGGCAGGAGGATCACAAGTTCAAGGACAGCCTGGGCAACTGAGCAAGACTCTGTCTCAAAATAATAAAATAAAAATAGAACAAGCGGCCTTACCTCTGCTCTCACACCACAATCAACACAGGAGACTTCTGTGACCCAAAAAACTATAAAGGTTTTGCCCCACCAGCAAGTGAGCAATTCTGCAACAAGGGACACCAACAGGACATACTCTACTTTGATCCAATTCTGATTCAGCCTGGAGATAGCATCAGATCCTAGTTTGAGAACTCAGTCTTCAAGATGCCAATCACAAGCCCCAGGCTGTCTTGCCTGTGCTTCTGATAGACTCCCATACATAATCATAACCCCTTTTTTGGATTGGATTTCCTCAAATGGCTCAAAGAACTAGTGAAATACTTACTTACATTCACTGGTTTACCATAAAAGACAATACAAAGAATACAGATGAAGAGACATGTAAGAGGCATAGGGAATGGGTACAGGCTTCTACACCCTACCTGTGCACCACCTTCCAGGTACCTCCCTCTATGCGGCTACCTGGAAACTCTCTGAACCCTTTCCTTTCCAGTTGTTATGGAGACTATAGCACAGGCCTGACTGCTAATAGAAAGGGTGAGGAAACCCAGTAAGCCCATCTATTCAGATTATTTTTGACATCTCCAAGAAATTCTAGTTTCTATGGTTTGCCCTGTGGAGGGAATTATAAGCCAGGAACCATGGATAAAAAACAAAAAGCTGGGCGCGGTGGCGCATGTCTATAATCCCAGAGGTTTGGAAGGCTAAGGCAGGAGGATCACAAGTTCAAAGCCAGGTGCAGCAGCAAGGCCCCACAAAACTCAGTGAGACACTGTCTCTAAATAAAATATGAAACAGGGCTAGGGATGTGGCTCAGTGGTTGAGCATCCCAGGTTCAATCCTTGATTCCCCAGTAGAACAGAAATGTATTTATTTTTGTGTGTGTGTGTGTGTGTGTGTGTATATATATATATATATATATATATGAAATATCAATACACATACTAGTGCATTTTTGTGGTATCCTTTATAATAAATTAGTAAATGTTTTCCTGAGTTCTGTGAACCACTTGAGCAAATAAATCAAAATTGAGGAGGGGTTATTGGGAATGCTGATTTATAACTGGTGGGTCAGAAGCCCAGATGAGTCAATCTGGGCTTGTGAGGTGAGGTGGCAGGGCAGAAAATGGTAACTACATAAAATATGCTGTTAACCTGAAATAAGTCTCCCAGAAAAAAAAAGGGAGAAAGGAAGGGGGCTAAATGAGTGAATTCACACATGCCTAGAAACACAGGCTCTATACCAGAAAAATTTTAAATGGTCAACTGTGGATGGGCTTATGATTGAGTCTCTCTCCATTTTAACTTCTGTGTACATTCCCATTTCCTACCATGGACTAGCCCACAATGACATCCATGGTAGGGGACAGACAGAAGCAACTGGTGGTAACACAAGGTTAACTGCATACTTTATGCAGGTATTATTCCATGGTGTGTGTGTGTATGTATATATATAATATCACACATACTTTCCTCATGAGGCAAATTCTGTGATGAATCATACTTCTCACATACTGAGACAATTATAAACACTCTGCACCCCACTTTTCCCATTGGCCTCCCCAGTCTGCATGCACAAGTGAAATCAAATACCCAAAGGACATTTAGTAAACACATGGAAAGATCGTAGTTTATTGTTAAGTTTTTTTGAAAACTATATATACATATAGAGAGTGTTAAGAGAAATTTGTGTGTGCACATGTGTGCAAAACACAAAACTCAAAATTGGTTTCCCCTATACTCTAACAACACACTTTGACACATGTATGGGAGTTTCACAGACACACACACACCAGGAAGCAAACAATTCAGCAATTCAGTAGAGGACACAAGTTGGATGTTCCCTAATTCAACTCAATTCTGATATTGTATGCTTGAGACAGGATCAAATCCAACAGACTGAGGGCTGTCCCTCCACCACTCCCCAGCCCCTTCTGCCTCCCCATTCCACCTCACAAGCCCAGATTGACTCACCTGGGCTTCTGACCCACCAGTTATAAATCAGTATTCCCAATAACTCCTCCTCAATTTAGATTTATTTGTTCAAGTGTTTCAGAGAACTCAGGGAAATATTTGCATTTACTATTTTATTATAAAGGATACTACAAAGAACACAGATGAAAAAGAACACAGATGAAGATGATTTTATATATATGGGGGGGGGTGTCGGTAGGTAGGTGGGGGTAAGGTATGGGAAGAGGCCTCTCGCTGGGCACCACCCTCCAGGAACCTCCCCACATTTACCTACCAGGAAGCTCTCAGAACCCCGTGCTTTGGGGTTTTATGTAGGTATCATTCCATGGGCTTGATGGATAAAATCATTGTCACTACTGATCAACACAGCCTTTAGTCCCTCTCCCCTCCCTGGAAAATGGGGCTGGGGAGTAAATTCCCAATTTACAGTCAG